GACACAAATAAGTCAGATTTTTCTTTTTCTGATTTCATAATATTATTTATAGGCATTTTCACGAATATGCTTAGCTCATATACACATACATTTAAAGGTATAATGTTAATTTATATATCATACATAACAATGTACATGCTAGATATTCATTTAACTTATATATCAATAATAAATACTTTCCCTTTGTTTTGAAACCATCACTCGCATAAAGATATCCAAATACAGTATTGGTGATGGATTACAATTTAAATAGAAATATAAGAAGCGACAGAATATGATTCCTTAGAAGAATTATCATTCGTACTTGTATATAATCTAACACAAAGTGCATATTTTTTCTTTTTCTTTCTTTTTGTCTTTTTGTTATTAAACTCACAGATAGAATATCCAAAGCTTATAAAAGTTATCTGCAATTTTACAAGATAATACTGAAACCTGTAAACCTAAAATGTATGCTAGAAAGTATGCGTTACTATTTTTTTAACATTATATTTATATCTTTTTTAATTATTTTAATATATCTTTCAGAATTCTATGCAAGGAAAACATTCACTTAATAATTAGTGTAAATTTTGAGAATTATATCAAATTCTGATTATTCAAACTTTCATTTTAAGAACACTGAATTACTTAATGCATCTATGCCAAAATGTAAAAACAATTTTTTGATAATAAAATGTATTGACAATGAAAGCAGATTTTATATATTTTTGCAAATATGGTAAAAGATAGTGTGATTGCACAATTCTGCTAATTTAATTTTCATGACACGCGGAAATTGTTACAAGTTTTCATCAAATTGAAGATATTTGAATTGCCATAAAGGATCATAGTCTAAAATTATTTAAGAGCAATACATTGTTTTACGAACAACACTGTAACAACACAGAAAATTTGTATCATTAGTATTTGTAATACATATATGTAATTTTATTTATTTTTTCCATAGTTTTATAATGTTTTTGCAGCTTGGTACTCATTTATATAAAAGTGCCTAATTAAAAAAGATTAATTCAGTATACAATCAATGAAGTTTAAAAAAATTGATACAATAACAGACTGAACATCCAATAGAAGGAGAAATATTAATCCTTTTCTTGTTATTACAAAAGGTGTATTGAATTCATCATGTGTTAGTCATAATAATAAAATGTATCACAAAATGTTACAAATCATTTGAAAATATTTCATTAAAAAAAAAAAAAAAGAAAAAATGAATTACATACGAAGGAGAACATTTTGTAGAATATTTAATTATATCGTAATGAATCTCTAAAGGATTAATAATCGGAAAATGTTAAAATATTCGATATAACGATGTGGTACAGTAAAATTTACTACGCTATTAGAAGAATTAGTAACAATAATTAATTATGCATTATCGATTATCAATTATATGTTAAAAATGTAATTCATTTTTCTTTTTGTAGCCATGAATATTTCAAAGATTTATTACACCATGAAACTCATTTATTATTACAATTAACTATCTAGAGTAATTGAATCGGCATTTTAACGTGCTTCAGTTCAAACACACTCTCATGCACCATATGTATACGCATACGCATTAAATGACAAAGACGATAAGGCACAGAATACACGTTATTACTTATGAGCAATCATTATACGTGATTGCGAAGCCCCGATAAATGGAAAAAAAGGCAAGAGGATGAAAGGAACTTGTTTCATAGAATTCTGAGTTTTCAAGAAAATAAAGTAATCACCCTCTTTTCGTATGTGAAAATACCATGTCACCTACAATTTTATTTCTTCCCAAATTATTTATATGAATAGACCATTATAAGAATCGTCTACTAAATTTTCAATAATAAGAAAAAATAATTAAAAAAAAAAAATTGTTTAATATTTTCATATATGGATCATGGCAAATGATATTTTATGATTCGTTCAATTGTCATAAGTTATCCTTGCTAGATTCTGATTACGTAATTTCTTGCTAAAGAAATAAAATAATCCATGAGAAGGCTTAGAAATTTAAAAAGAGGACTCAAGTACCGCATGTAGAAATGATATTTTCTTCACTGTTATTAGAAATTAAATAATTTGCTAGGGAATTGAATTTGTTTTTCTACAACCAGTGAAACATAATTACTAAAATAGTAGTCAGTTTGTGCCCTAGGGTTATCACAAAAACACGAGTCAGACTCTCGTTTTCCCTAAAAATTCATCTCAAATATCATTTGAGAAATCTTTCACTAAACTCATTTGCTACATGAGTCTTATTATCATGAAAGATCATATGTACACGTGTATAGCCTTTTTCAGATTATACGGGGCGGTGATAAAAAAAATATTGCAAATATATGTATGTAATGTTATATGTGTGTGTGCACTGCATACGATTACACGCCATTAAGAGTACTCACATTAAAAAAGTTATTTATTCTTTAAAGAACGAGTTACTCTTATGGAAAAGATTCTAAATTTTATTTACAATTCATTACCTAAAAATACATACTTAGTTTTTTCATTAATGAAAATATCCTTAATGATATAGAATATGCACATTTTTCATCGTTATCTCACTCATTTACCGTCATTGTTTGACAATCTTTTCTTTTCTTTTTGACACGGTATCCATTACGATAGAAATTAATTGCACAATCCGATTAAAATAAAAGTTAAAAATTAAAATTCATCCCTAATCATTATTTTTCCCACCTTTCACAAGAATGTTCTTTTCATATTATACATATAACATTTAAATGGCTAAATAAAAGTATTACATTAAACAATGGCATTCTCTTTTGTTGGCTTTACATGATAAATAAAATAGAAAATGGGAATACTACTTTGTTGATATAAGTAACTAAGCCGTCTCAGATACATACAAAGTTTTGATTATCGAAAATAGCAGACATAAATATGTACCATTATGCTATCTTCTTCGATAAAATATTATGATTTATCATCTATAAGGCTTGGAAAATAATATTACTGAAAATTCACAAATATCTCGATACGTCGAACATTTCATGACAATATATCTTTTTAGAATTCCGAATTCCCATTTAGTGACTAATTAATCGTGTAAAAGTAGTACCGGTTACGTCATACTTATGTACTTATACTTAAACATATAGAGATATTTACATTGTCCTTTCATACACCATTCGATACATTTATAAAGAAAAGTTTTTCAAGTTGATCTCGTATAATGATACACCAAATAGCAATTGCATAAAAATTCTTGCCTTCCTTCTTCAACATATTCCGCATACGTAATCCTCGCCAGTAATTATCGAGTAAAAGTATTAGCACAAATAATGTACAGTTACGAAATAGATCTTGCACGATTTCGTGGGAAATGATACCAAATGATTAGTTAGCTGAGTGAAATTCATCACGAGACTTATTATTACTCTCTTCAATTTCCATTGTATACAAAGTGTCTCATAATCAATGGTAAAATCGATAACAATTCCCTATTCTATAACTAAAAATATATCGAAAATCTGGAATAACATTCTTTAATCGGGGATTTCATTTTTCATAAAAATGGGATTAAAGCTTAGTGAGCTATACGTCTAATTAAATTTTGATTGTGTTGAAAGTTGTATTTATCAAGGCCGAAAAAATAATTCCTTGCTTATTAAACAAATTTTACGTTTCTATGAATATTTTTTATTATTTCTTATATATAATGATACAAAATTTAGGTGCGCTTTTACGTGCCAAAAAAACAAAAAAAAAAAAAAAAAATATTTGAGAGCTTAATTATCGATTTTGTTATTAATTATGAGAAATCTTGTATAACGCAATGCTCGTTTTAATGGTAAAAGCGAATGCAATGTTCGTTTTAATGGCAAAAGCGAATGCAACGTTCCATTCATGATTGCTGTAATTGTTATCTAGCATTGGAAGCACCAATTCATTTTTATCAGACATAGAAGAAAGATATACAAAGAAAGGTTAATATATTAGCCTTAATTGATTATACTATAATAAAAGAATCATTAAATAACTAATGACTTGACGTTCTTTAATTAAAGATCTTTAGGATAAATGTTCTAGTAAACTGTTATCAAATGTTTCTTCAGTCTTGGGAGAGTAAAATATTCGCGAATAGTCCCTGTTTGATTTTTTTTTTTACCACGGTATTCGTTCAAGAACGAAACTATATCGTTAATTAAATATAAGGGTAGTTCATACGTGTTGTTCAAGTGCGTAATGGATCATCCTTTTTCATATCTTTTTCGTTCCACTACCTAGTAGTTATATTTGGTTTCGTATGTTTCTATTTTTTAAACAAGATACTTGACTTTAAAAACAATGAAAAACTGCTTCGAATATGTTCATGTAAATGCATAAAATTAAAACTTAAGTCGACAAAACGTCGGCTTCAGTCGGTTTTGCAGTAAATTGTATAAAACTCTGCACGCTGGTATAACAAATAATTTTCTCATAATTTCCTTTTTTTTTTTTTTTTTTTTTAAGAATAAATTTTCTAGGCAGTTATAGAAACCAAATTTTTGAGTCTAATGCAATTTTCATCCAAATTCGAGCTACAGAGTTTTTGTTTGGTTACTAACATCCACTGCTCCAAATAATAATATTAACAGCAATTAAAAAGGTAAAAATACTTTCTCTCATTATGCGAACACTGTGTTCCTTAGTCGACTTGAGCAGTGTACCTTTTTCTTTTTGGCATGTTTTTATGACCACAGTCGTTCGCGTTAGAAACGGCTTCCGTTTCCTCTTTGGGGAAATCGTGGAATGAGAAAAAAAATGCACGCGTTCACCGACAAACCACACAACACTCTTGTAAATGTACAAGTATATACGAGGCACCGTTTTAAAACGCTAAATATGTACAATTGTTCGCCCTAACGCGTTCTCAAGTGAAAATATGCGCAACAAGATCCTTTCATAACGAAGACGAACTACGTAATATGATCATCGTGAGAAAGCAAAATTTTTTATACCACTCTTCGAGTCTCTCTGAACAAATCGATTTTTCATTAATATTCCCTCTTTTCTGTAATTAATGCTGCCATCACACTTTTGTACTGCAAAGAAGATGAAGAAGTCAGCGATGAGAAACGAGGAGGAACTGCAGGAACTAACGATCATAGGAGAACTTTGAAACCATAAGTTGTGTCCTCGTCGAAGCGATAACAAGAACCTTTTTATCGATGTTCCATGCATTTTGAAGAAATCGTTTGGAACATTCAGCAACAACGGGAGAAACAAGGTTCGTGGTTGTTGCTTCAACGAGGAGAGAACATTAGCGAGGTTGCGTCCTCGGAACCTAACCTGCGTAATTATTACTTTCGGCACCGTTCAATTGGCATTATTTTCAATCGTGGACATCTGTTAGTCGCACTGAACGTTCTTTAACTTAGTTTCGACACCGGAAACGGTCAGAAATGGCTGACGAGCGTGGTCCTTATGGTCACGGGCGATTAAAACGAGTCTTTGAGCGCTGTGACCGCCGTTGATCTTCATTCTTGGTGTCAAGAATGATCTCAGGTGTTGCCGCTTAATTGGAAAACACCTGTGGAGCACTCGCTGTGCTCGTTTCTCCACGGGCTACACGGCACAGCCTTTTCTCGTTCCATATAGAATTTTTAACTCTGGAACGATGATCTTTCTTATCAAGGCGTTCGTTTTCGCTGTCAGCATCTCCCGGTGAACATCCTTCTTGAAGATCTTAATGCCTGGACGATGGACCAGAAATGCGTTGTCCAAGATGAGGAAATCGTAGTCAAGGACGCACAACGCGTAACCCTAAAACGAAAGTCAAACTGGGTTAATGATTCAGAGAAATCGCATTGGAGAGGTTGTTTTATGAATATTACATGAATCGACGGTTTTTCGGTCATCTTTTATTTTCCCATGCATTACTGTCGATATCTTATTTTAGCAAATCTTGTATGTATTTTTCTTTTCTTTCCCTCTTTTCCTTTTCTTGCCGTTTTTAAGTTTATGAACTTGGCGTATATGACGTGAAATCCCTTTAGTATTGATCAATAAATCCTTCTTACAAATGGCGCCATTTTCGTTTCATAGTCTATGAAACGCATTGGCGGTAATTTCTTTGAAAAAATTCATACTTGTTAGTGCATCAAATGTTGAAATATTTTTTTTTTTTTACAAACGGTTTACACTTTCACGAATTTAGGGACGAATAGACTCTCTACGTAGATTAACTCTGAGAGTGTCAGATCACTTTCTACATGAAATTATTTCTCACTGATATTGATATATGAACGAATCACTCGATACATGAAAATAAATACACGAATTTTTTGCGAAATATTTATCGCCTGCGATTCTACCGAATATTTTGAAAGTTTCGAGTAAAAATAAAAGTAGGTCGTGACTGTATCGACACAAGTTGTTTTATAAGCCGGAAATCATTTGTACCTGTGTCATTTTGTCGCTTTTTCCTTCCCAGCTAAGCCTCTCATCGTACAGAGGATCATTATTGCTCCCGATGAAAATCGGCTCCCAATGAACGAAACTGCCTGTCCTCTTACCGACGTGAAACACGTGAAGATCCTCCGTTTCCGCAGCTTCTTGCCATTCTTTACTTCGAGGAACGTTATGACAGCCGGAGCACAACTTTTTGTGGAAGGGAATTGCCGTGCCGGCCTTCAGCATCTGAGCCTGAAACGAGAATTATTTGTTAAATTATTTCGTTATTTTTTATACGAAAGGAGAATATTTTTTATTTTTTCAAAATTTCTGAAAACATATTTTTAAGTATATAAAGTAGATATAAATATATATCTACTACTATATATATATATACATATGCATATACATGTTCAAGAATACGTAGGAAGTCCACATATATAGAAATATACTTATACCGTTTACTTCAGAAACACGTGGCTATCGCATAATTTATAATTTATTGAAACTTTAGCAAGGAGAAAAGGACTCTTAAGTTGAAAATTGTTTATTATAATTTTCATAATTTTACTAATAAGAAATTGACAATAGATAAATATAATTTACGGTAATATTGAGTATTGAAAATTTGGAAACGAAAAAGTGATTTTTCATATTTGAAACTTTTATCGCAATTCATATAAATTTTTCTCTTTTTAACTTAATTAATCTTTATTATTAATTTAAATAATTTTTAAATATGCTAATGTTTAAGAACTTTTGATTTAACTCAGTCGTATACTATTATCTATATAACATCATTTAGTGTGTTATTTTCATTATGTTTAGTTGCACAAGGTAGTTTTCGTTACAATATAATCATAAAATTCTGTCATAAAAATAATTCGTCGAAAGGATAACGGTTTTACAACATTTTTTACAAAAGTATCCGGGTTCAACGTCTTCTTACGCGACTATAATTTCACCGTTTCTAATTACAGTTTTACCACCGTTTGAAGAGGCGCAGTTCTCTGCTTGTGCTTTGAAAAAAAAGGGGCAGGGGGCAGCGTGTATCACGGTTAATGAAATAAGGCTTGTTCGACGTTTGAAAAAATGGAATGAAATTGAATAGTGCATAGAAGTGGTGGAATTGAATTGAATGTTTCATAGAAGTGCGGCCAGCGACCAGCTGCACTTCACAGCAACGCTGCTAATTGTACGTATCAAGGTCCACGGTCAAAGGAAGCGCCACTGATTAAACGACCCTCGCGTTCATGCCATTTAACGCATTGTCGGATATTATGCAGCCGTCATTGCGCTCTTCCCTATCCGTTTAATTAGCTCCAAGTTCAGTTTTCAACTAAAATGTCAAATGCGAATGAACCAAGTTCAGCAAAATGTATTTCTCTGATTGAAAAACGTGAAGATCGCTTCTTACCGGTAATTAAATACGTTTCATCGTGCAATTTCACTGCATCCAGCTTAAAAAGAATGATATAAAAATTGTATAACGATGGTGCAGACATTTCGCATTTTTTGCCAATTAAAATGCTAATTAGATTAGGTTAGATTTAGATTATATCTGGAGCGAAATTAAGTTAGGTTAAGTTAGTTTAGGGTAAATGTAATTGAGGTTAACTTGTAACGATGAGTAATTAATAGCTTTAATCGTAAATAAAATTTTAGAATAAAGAATATTAATTATTTAAGTTATTTAATCTTCAGCTTTTTGGATATTTTGCATACTATTGATATACCGTGCGTGGACTGAAATAAAATCCTGTAGTGAACGGTTGCATAGCGGCATTTGGTTGTATGCGAATGTCACAACGTAAAAGGTTAACACAAAATAAAAGTTTTAGATCGAAAGTACAATCCGACATGGGAGTTAAATAGAACAGTGACAATCTAGTAACTTTCTTCTCCAATATTTCGACATCTGATTAAATGATAAATATGCTTATTTCAAGACATGCATTGTAATATACATGTATATACTAATGCTGAAATACCAGCATTAAAAATATAAAATGTTCTTATATATATATATATATATAATAAGAATACTTTTATTTCATTTCTAACATTAAAAATTTGCAAGGTTTTCCAATTCTAACTTACCAAATGTGTTTTATTATTAGGCGGTTGACTCTTCTCGTCCACCTCGAAGATGGACAATACAAAAACTTTGGGGTTAGGTTTGTAGAGGGCGGGCTGATCCCTCTTTCTGATCATCTCGAGGAATTTCGCGGGCAAGTCTGGATTCGGGTAAAGCTCGATATCGCTTGCTAACACGTAGAACGTCGGCGCCGATTCACGGGCTATGTTACGTCCGACGTTCACAGGGTACAGCAGCTTCTTCTCGTTTTTATACATCTTTGAAAGCGTGACATTCACCCACGGTGGTCCCAGCGTGCAGTTATACGAGTCAGACATAACTTTCTCGGTCGGGGGTACCTATTTCAGAAAGCAGATTGTGCCACACATTATAATAACAGCTTACAGACTGGACAGTATATGTATAAGGTTATACTTGATAATTTTATAGCTATTTTATTTTTTGGTTATTTTGTAGTTACCTAAATTTTTACTAGAAAATAATTTCCAGTGATTTTTATATTTTTTAAAATTCATAATAACGATAATGGTGGTTATTTCTTCAGTGAATATAATAAAACAGATATCTAGTACGTTAGTAAATTCCCTAGAATATATTTTTCTCGAACGTTCATTTTCAAGACTCTAGGCGAAGATAGTAGAAAAGATGAGATGCGTATCGAATAGGCAGAATTGGAAAGACGATGCAATACTTTCTGTCGAGACAGAATAAAAAGTGGAACAAGATGAAAGGTCGGGAAAGTGGTAATTAAACCGTGGAACCAATCAGCGGCCGATAGGGAATGCCTGTTTATTTCTTTCCGCAGTGCATACATAATACGACAGTAAGAGAGTCGTCCTGGAAACAAAGTAGAGCCTTCGCACGTGTAATTGGTACACGTATTTCGAGGTACTAGGAGTCGCAATCGTGATTTCGCGTTCTAATTAATTACGTGCACGTGTATCGACGTTACGTCGTGATACAGAAGGAATTAATAACAGAGTTTCGCCACAGAAAAGTACAGCCGCAGGAAGTGCTTCTCTTGCCAATCTATTTTCTCATGCCGCCTGTCTCCAAGTCATTTCACTTTTGCAAAATATTATCCACTTACCTTACTTAATTCGTTCAATTCTATTTCTCTAACTTATTACCAAAGATTTGACGTGTTATTAACGGTAGTGAAAGGACAGAACGATTTTGAAAATTTTTTTTAAACATGTTACAGTAAAATGTTTGATTGCAAAGAGGTAGAAGTAGACCTGAGCTCTTGTTGTTAGTCCCATCTTCTTATGACTAAGACTGTCGAAAATTTAAATATCTTTTTATATTCTTTTTGGATCCTTAGGAAAAAGTAGGCCAATCTTTTGGATTATTATTTTCTGTAATTTTTAAAATATTTCTGGGATGTTGTTCTATCGATAAGTTTTTAGAGTTTTGATTTTTAATTTAGTCTTCATTACATTACGCGACCAATTTTTAAGTCAAATGTTCAACAAAAATGTTTATTTATTCGAAAATTTGTATTATTTAGAAAAAATAAAAGTTTGCTGTGAAAAAGTTTACAACCGAAACTTGACGAAACATAAACGACACTGCGATCCCTATTCGAAGACTTTGATACTGGACCTGGTATCACAAGTAACGTCGTCATAACATACGTCTAAATACAATGAACAACATGAAAATAAAAAGCAAAATAGCGGAAGATGCGTGAATGTCACGCAGTGGAAACTCGACCGAACTGAATACACCGGCAAGCGTCAACAAGTGACCCGATAGCATCGAAATTCTGCACGATCAGCACAGTCTCGTGTTTTCAAAACGTGAGTGGTTTCCATATCAAACGTGCCGAGAAAATCTCGTGGATTCCTTTAAAAACCAGCCTCATCTCCAGAATCTTCACAGTTTCACGGAGAAATACATAAAAAATTCAACAAAATGTATTTTAACACGTATTTCGTGCTTTCACTACTTGGTTTGACGATATGTCAAGCAGTTCCAGCGGAGAAGAAAGAAGAAATCAAAGAAGAGTTAAACAAGAAGGAGCTAGAGATAGAACAGACTGGAGAAGATACCGAGAGATCCAAAAAATCGGTATTCTTAATGGACCAAGCATTGGGAGAAGCTCAGAGTTTCGGTATTCAAACTCCTTCACAACATATTCAGAGTTTGAATATCAAACAAGCTCCAGGAGTTTCTGAGACTGTCAGCATCCAGAATCCACAATCTGTTCAAACTCTCAATATTCAAACTTCACAACCTGCTCAAACATTCAGCATCAAAGATCAATCTAGTTCAACCTTGAGTATCAATCAGGATTCAGGAGTTTCCGAGACTATTAGTATCCAGGATTCACAATCTGCTCAAACTGTCAGCATTCAAACTCCACAATCTGTTCAAACACTTAACATTCAAGGTTCGCAACCTGTTCAAACGTTGAACATCAAGCCAGGTTCTCCGGGAGTTCAAACACTAAGCATCAAAGGTCCACAAGCTCTTCAAGCCTTCAGCATCAAACCAGGTTCTCAAGTCCAAACCTTCACCATCCAAGGGTCACAACCTCTTCAAACATTCAGTATCCAGGCTCCAAACTCTGTACAAACTCTCAGTATCCAGCCAGGTTCGCAAGGAGTTCAGACTTTGAACGTGATTCAACCTCAACGCGATCAAACTTCTGCAAACGTGATAATGGGTCCTCAGCACACCAAGACTGTCCAGGTGATCCACCCTGGCCAAGGTGGTTCTCAAACCAACGTAAACATCGTCCAACCTTCACCGAAAGAGATTGACGTACCTGTTGTTGAGAAGATTACTCGTACGGAGAAAATTGTGGAGCCTATACCGCAAAGAGTGGTTGTTTCTGAAATGGAAGAGGAGATCGTGGCTCCTGTGGTGCCTATTTTTAGGGAACAGGTGGTTTTTGATCCAGAGTGTTCTTGTTTAGTAATAGAACCAGAAACCTTGCCAACCTTTTTTAAGTACTTTCATTTTAAGTATGGAAAACCAAAATTCTACTCAGCTGTGAAACCTAAGATGTTGATCAAGCAACCTATGAAGTTTTTGGAGGTTAGGGAACGCGCCTTGATAGGTGTATAGAAAGCAGCACTCGATGTAAGAGAATATTTATTTATTTATTTATTTATTTATTTATTTATGTAAATTGAAATCTCTAAGGATTGTGTGAAGTAGAATAATTTATTTGCTCTTTCTAAGATCTTTAAGAGCAGTTGAGAGAAACCCATTGTAATTGGAGAAATAAAATTGAAATAGCACCTAATTTCGATTATACTTATTACTTTCCCAATATCTGAAACCGTACACTTCCATAATAACGATCTACCGAGGATAGATACGATAAAGTAATTTAAAGTAGATGCAACGCTAATCGGTCCAACAAATAGGGTACATAAATAAGGTACAGAGAGGAAGGAAGTCATTAATACTCACCATTTTTGGCACGTGTTTGCTGCTGAAGAATACATGAAAGGTGACCAGCTGGGAGACCAGAGAGCTGCCACAGTTTCTCGAGTACTTGATGGCGTCGAGGGTCGCCGCGAAGTCTGTGCCAGGGGCGTGCATTGCAATCGATATCGGCGCTCTCCATCGCTCCAGCAACGGCTCCAGATTGTCCAGGAACGTGTAATCCGCGTGCGTGGTGTACGTCACGCTTTCCCAACATCTCACCGCTATGCTCATCGGCACGTAATTATAGAGGACCCAGTAATCACCTCGCTGCGCCCTCCTCGGTTCCAAGGATTTTTCGTTGCACTGCACCGCTTCGTTTAGGCTCATCGCTGATTGAACGACCGGCAAACCGCTCTTTGTCTGTAACAGGAATGCCAAATTGGTTAATTGACGGAACCGAGGCGAGGCCTTCTGACCCTGGCAAAGAATATCGGTCTTCAAATCTGACTCAAGCGAGAAGTAAGACATCGCTTGAAACTTATTGCAAACCAAAGTCAATTAGAAAATCTAATCTAAGTTAAAACGTGATTCCAATTGAAAGGAAAATGTTTGTCAATTATAGGGATCCCTAGACAAACTCCTAAGGAATAATGGTTCCTTTACATCGAGATATAGGAAACAAATACAAAATATAGGATTTCAAATACAATGTAACAGTATATAAGCAGGCGACACGATGCAATTTCACTCTTGAACCTATTCTCGATAAAACATAATACCACAACGGTTGCCTCGCTTACTTCCTCACAATCTTCTATACTGAATTTTGCGCGTGACATTACCGGCATTCCCCTTTATTACTAAATTATTGTTAGATACAGTTTCTTGCAGCAGTATCCATCAGAAAGGTGGTAGAAGGAGATGGTAAAAGCTTTCGCTCCAATTTTGCAGAGTGACGGGATGGGGAAAGGCGAAAGGGGGCGGGCGGAGATACACGTTGAAGTTTTCCCTTTTGAAATATTGAACTGCAAAGCGGTAGGAGGCGGCTTCTGAGCCCGGTTTTACGCGACTTAATTCCTCTACGCTCCCCTAGGAAACTGCGAGAAACTTGATTGGCGAAAAAAGGGAACCTAACCTAACCTAACCTTAAACGACTAACCTTAGACCTATAGTATATCGAACAATTGGTGAATTATACAGACTTCCGAAGACTTCTGGATGACGAAACTTATCCGGCGTAATTTCAAGTGTCTCGAAATTGGACACGAATATTACTTATTTTAAATTTCGTCTCTTTTTATATTTTTACCGATGGAAATTTTCCAGTCATTGCCGTTCTCATTATCAACGAGCTAAGCGAACTAAAGTTCTTCTCGAAACGTTCGAAGGTAAATAGTGTAACTTGATACTTCGGATATTCATGGTAGATTAAACAATTTCAACGCGGTTACTAGAATGATGTTGAACTGTTATGCATGTGAATGGGTAATCAGGTAACGTACAGTTAATGTTAAAAATGGTTACACTGGTCGCAGCTAGTATCTGGAATGTCAGTTCACGAACGTTATCGTGACTACCGTGCATGTAATACGACAATGTAAGAGCGACCACTTCTGAACCTGACGTAGTTTCTTGAAAGGGTCGACAGATCTTATCCAATGATCAGGATTTTGAACGAGGTCGAGTCGCTTCTCATCCAGCGGCGAGAACAGTTGAATTTTGGATGAAAGTCGATCGTTTCGGACAGAATACACTTTTTTGCGCGATAAGATCTGGCGAGATAAGGCCGGGACAGAAAATATCCACGGCGATGGACACTCTGTAATCCAAGAACTCTCTACTTGGCTCATATTTCTGTCATATACAGCTTGCATCGACCCTGTCGAAACGTAATTTCTTCGATGTCACGAAATCAAAGGATTCACGATTAATTTTGAACTTTACTAATTTTATGAAAATCCAAAATATTTAATAAGTAATTATAATTAGAAATAATATTACATACTATAATTTCTTTAGTATTATCATCGTCAGTAGCTTCTTGCGAAAGATATATTTTCCATATCCAATTATCGAATTTTCTAAAAAACCATTCCATATTTTCCATTTACTATTAATGTCGTTTTTCCACCATGAATTCCATATTTTCCATATATAATTGCATATAGAATTTTCCACCAACGATTTCATACTTCCCATTTCCCGTGTGAGTGGATCTTCTTCCATCAATTGCACACTCGATTTTCCATATCTGATTACAATCGATTTTCCAGGCTCGGTTCCGCATCTTCGACATCCAATCGGAATCAATTTTCCGCGTGTAATTAGATTCAATTTTCCGGAATCAATCGCACATTTTCTACATTCAATCAGAATCAATTATCTCGGTTCAACTTCAAATTCAATTTCCACCTTTTCCATATCCAATGTGCAATCCATTTTCCGCCATCAGTCTCGCATTTCCCACGTGCAATTGGAATCAATTTTCCAAGGCCAATTGCACACATTCTACGCTCAATTAGTATCACTTTCCTGGCATCAATTTCACATTTTCCACGTGCAACTGAAATCAATTTTCCACGACCAATACCACGCGTAATTAAAACCAACTGCACAATCAACCATAATAGCATCTATTTTCCTTCGATAATTACCTCGCAAGTGGTGTTCACACGACAATGTTAAACTTCACCCAGAAACACAAGACGTAGAACGATGTCGTAGAACGGATTAGTCATCCGAGATTCGAGCGAGTGGTTTGATGGAAAGTCCGATAGGACGAGATTTCTCTCGTCGTTTTTTGCTCAATTATCGCGGCAACGCGCGCGATTCACGTTACTTGCATGGCATCGAACGTGATTATCGATCGAAGCCGGGGTAATCTGTCGAAGATTGCGATGCTAGCAAATCGGAGAGTACGCGGAGAGCTGTTGATCGAAACAACGATCGATCCGTGAAATTGGTTATGGTTGACGGTATAAATAGCCAACCTGTGAATAATTCATTGATACTTAATGTTTATAATCTATGGTCTAAGACCGTAATCGATTTCAGTCGATTTCGTTTGATCTGGTTTGATCAAGGCCTACCTACTACCATTGACTATTCAGTATCCTATCCAGTATCCAGACGTGTTTCCTTCTGGAATCAGAATTAGTCGTTTTATGGTATAGAATCGAAGTGCAATTTACCTCGCTAAATAGTTATCAACAGTGCTACAAGTCACAACATTACATCGGCATAACGTCGTCTCTACAGTGAAAAATAGAAATACCAACGGATATTGGTTAATTATTTCCCGGCCTTTGTTCATGCTAGCTACCTAGATGAACAGAACATTGAGTTTTTTTCACAACTAGCAGCTGACGCGTACCGGCTTTTCCACAAGTACACTTTGTTTTTTTATGAATTTGTACTACGCTGTGATGCACAAGTTCTTTTTTCTTGGTCAAAGAAAACTTGTTTCTTGCAACTTGTTGGCAATATCTTCTACCACCTCTCTTCGATTATGCTATACGTGTACGTGTAAGCAGCTTGATATACGAATATATGGAAAAACGAATATGATATTGTTTGTGGAAAATCGAGTATACCGCTAACAACGAGTTTGTTGAAATTTTGAGGCACAGGATACATTAGCCTTCTGAATTCTCAATTATATTGTATCATCGTTATATTTATTTAGCTGGTCCAGACGATCTCAAAAAATCCACTTTTAGCTCCTCTGTGTTCTATTTGGTTCGTGGCATTATCTTAAATATGGGCGATACTACCAACAACCGTTAGAAAGATGGCTGAATAGCTTGCGTTAGATTATTCTTTTCAAAATAATGCACACATTGTTCCATGGTAATTTTACTTAGAAGCTGAATTATTTGAGTCTCAATGCGCGTATTGTTTGCACATCGTAACGTTCCTCTTTGAACAACTTATGGCGCGTTCGCACTAAGCGAGCGAATGTTCCCCCACTTTTCCATCGTATCGTATTGTATTGGGTTTTCCCTTACTCGTCTGAAAGCAAGGCGTTATTGCGAGCTATTTTTCTGTTTCCCGTTTGCCATGAGTCCAGTCTTTGACCTTTCCATCCTTCTGTCTCTTTCCATCCCTCAGCCTCTCGACAGGGCTCGAATAGCTTCGAGTCCAACTTTTACAAACTTAGTCCCCTTCAAAGCGTTAGCTACGTGTTTAAAGTGTGTATTCCCCTTTAAGGCGTAAATACGAATATGTACGAATACAGCGTTGCATCTGACCGTATGTACGCGCTTGAACTTTACTTTTGCTCGCTACAGCGTAGCCAAAAACTCCGAAGGAATTCCACTCACCGTCTGATTATGCCTGTGCTCTGGCCCGTCGCCGTTCTTGTTATCAGCCTTGGCCTCGTTGGTCGTTGGCCTCGTGGTGAGCAACCTCGTCCTGGCTGGACTGGTCGTGTTATCGCGTGCGCTCTTGTTCGAGGCATCCTTGATGGCAGGCACAGCTGACGACGTGGCGCCCTTTTGAGTACCATTTACGAGGTCCACGGCGCCAAAGGTCTCGGATTGCAACGGCGCCGCCCAATTTGTCGGCGGTTCCTCGATCCAGGGCCCGGAGGAGCCGAAGTGGGCGCACACGTAGAGCAACACGCAGATGTTGAGCACCACCGACACCCGAAGTGCCCAATTTCTACGTAGTATGCTCAACATGCTCATCGCCAGCCTCCTCCAGGACCACGAACCGGTTACCGTCCTATGGAGATCGTAACCAAGCGCGGATGGATGCGTTTGCTGTTCTCTTCCACCACCTCCCCACCCCTATGGGGCCCCTGATGCTCCGCGATCAGGATCTGAGCATTGTTGGCCACAGCTTCGACCTCCTCCCTCTGGTTAGCCTCTGAAACACGAATTAGACTTCGTTTAGGGCCGATTTCCTCGTCATTCGATTTTTCTTTTATACAGGCTGGTTGGTAACTGGTGGTTACCAAGCGGAAAGGGGGCGATTCTACGCGAAAAAAGAAGTCGAAAATATAAAATAAACATTTTTCGTTCGAAGCTTTGTTTTCGAGAAAATCGACTTTGAATTTTCGTTCGGTACGCGTCCGGTACGTTATAACGGATCTCACTGTAGATCGTTGTCTTTCCGTTTGTACCACCAGTTACCAACCACCCTGTATGTCGCACTTTCATCAGCGATCTGAACGCAACGTATTCTACGGGTTGAAGGTGTTTTAAGAAATTGCTACTCTGAGATCTCGTGACGAGCACTCTTCTAGCGACAAGTACTCTTTAGCCTTGCTTCGAGCTTGCTGGACAGTCTCGTTCAAATTGGCAACAAATTCTCTGGATTCTAATGGCAACTACTCGGTGATCTCCGTGATTCTATCTTGATTCAGTTGATTGTGGCTTGATCGCGCCTTCATATAGCGATCTTTACGTCAGAAAATATATACAAATATTTACCTACTTCGCAAATACATTGTATCAGCTTACAGATACGAAGCTAGCGTAGATAGTAAACTCATTGTAGCATGTTTATCATTTATATTCGTTGTCGTTTATTATATTGGTGGAATTACAATTTCCATTCAAGATTTAACGGGTTATCGGTTTGCTCGTGGCAGTGTCAAACGATCTGACTAAAATTAACTCGTCTTTATTGATTTATCAACTCCGTGACCAAAGCAGTCCCTGATTAACAAACGACCCCGTCTATAACAGGTTTAATAATTTCTACCGGGCCTACGTGGATTTCACTGGCCATTGCACAAACCCGGATCGTGATCCCAGGGCGATGCATTCTGAAACAGAATCTCTCTGCCCGGAGAATCGTTAACGACTTGTTAGTAACTCAGTTACCTAATTCCATCCATCGGTGATAATGACACTCTGCGGTCGGCATCGATTCTTTTTGCCACTTTTACTACGCATCGATGACTGCCAACGAGCAATGCCGATGCTTTCATTGTAAGATCCCGGGCCATTAAATGCTCGACACGGTTCATTATCAGAGATAGGAAAAATAGCCGTAAAATTAACGTTTCGTTTTACGAGCGTCAAATTAGTATCGGTATGGAGTTATTGCGATTCGCAAAGTAAGTGAGTTTTAGTGCAGCTGCCAGCTTCTCAGAGGCCGTATTCAACGACCTCGTTGATCGTAAATTAGAGAAAAGTACGTCGAATAGGAATCACGAAAGCGTAGAATCGCACGTAACGCAGAAAATGCACAAAAATATATGAAATGTCTGAAGTATAACGATCGTTATGATATCTTGCGGATGAAGCAAATTCCTACTGGTTAGTTACTGTACCCGGTGCGTGCATCTGATACATCCTGTGTCTCAGAGATCATAGATAAGCGGCGACGGAAACAATCGAAATTAATCCACGTAAAACAGCTGATTTCATAGAAATTGGAAAAAAGAAATGTGATTATTTGGTTGGCAACTAAGTGATCGCGGATTTTCTCGATACTACCTAATGGAAAAACTCGCATTCGCTTAGTTGCCATATAGGAACAGCAATTCGACAGCTGCCTGATACATTAACAGCAGACCGATGCAAAGTTCAGGAGTACTGTAACTCCTGAAACCCTAACAGCAACACATGCACAACGCGTCCGCCGTTTAGTCCCCTTTGCTTTCGGCTGGCATTATCCGAGAGCGTGCTCTTTGTCGTTCCTACCCTTGTATCGCTGCCAGGCAACTTTACAAAGGCCTGTTCCAGTCGTCGAACGATTCTTGGGCACGGTTATTAGCAACGAACGACGACAGGGTGGAAATTGGCGCGGCACATTGTATCGCGACTTAATACAATATATGTACAGCAGACAGCAGTTTCTGAAGTTGAATTGCACGTCGGTGGAAGAAGTTAGGCAACGTCGTACTGGGAGCCACGCGAAACGACGTATTGCTTCCGATGATTATTGCCCAAGAATGGATCCAACGGAGGGGAACCCGATTTACGCTAAGCTTCGTGATTGCCTTTGCAATTTTTTACGCCACAATGTGCAGGTATGTGGTTTTTGTTAGACGAGGACGTGACGGAAGATCTGTCCGCAGAGATTCTTTGGTATATTTACGCGTGCCGATAGGTTAGGGTAGGTATTGGGTATTTAGGTTAGGTTAGTTTCTTGATTCGTGTCATTAGAATGCGAACATTTACAAACATTTAGATTTTGACGAATACGATTAAACGGGTGAAATTTAGTTATGCGTATAGTCGAAACTTGAAGTCTTTTGGGTGAAAGTCTATTTACCATTTATACGAGTAAAAGTTTCTTTTAATTCTTATTTATCTCGAGACACACTATATACCGAATATTTACAAAACTATAGACGATAAATCGTGGCTTATTAAAAAGGGTATTTTATGTCTAATAAACATATATCCAAAGTCATTCCATTTTTGAGTAACCAATGTTTAAAAATTTAGCAGTTGGGCGCCTGGCGTCAGGCAACCTGCCATGCCTCGTTCCTATCGACGCGCTCGTACGAAACTTTTAAACGGCAAATTATGTGGCACCCTTTCTAACCTAAAATAATTTATGAAATTATTCCTTTATCTAAATGCAAACGAACTCGTAATAAATTACTCGCAGTCAATGCTCTGATACCGTTAATGCAAATGTATTTAAACGTAAGAAGCGAGGAAGTCGAACCCTTCGAGCTCGATGTTACAGTTTATCGTGGCAAATTCTACGTCGACTCGATCGCCACGTATAACATTACTAGAAATAATGTGTGCGTAATAACACGGTAGAAACTCGATTATCTGATGGCAGACTGAAGGCTGGATTAATCGAAATTCCGGCGGGACTCGCAACCTCTAAGAAAAACTTGAATATAATTGCCAACTGTGTTGCATTAAAAAGTACATAATTAATGGGTGGGAATACAATTTCTCGATCTTTAAGCATGATATTTAAACTGATTATGTAAAACATTCTGTAAATTGAGGGGAAAAGAAAGGGAAAAAGTATTCGCGTGCTGGAAGACGTTTCCGAGACCGATTTTAGAGCTTGGTATGCACTTCATTAGGATAATGAATCAACCGGTAATGGGACAGTCCTAGTTTCGTCATTCTTTTTTCCATAACTTTCCAATCTTCATGACTCTCTAGAGAATAATACACGATTTGAAAAAAGTGTTTTTAAAAGTTTTTTTTTTTTAGAATTTTATGTGATAAGCGATTGCTCGAATATGCTTTTTAATGTTTTAGGTTATGAAGCAACCTGTAACTCGAGAAATCGTCTGTTTGTTGTTACAAGTTCCTTTATTACTTTATTGCGACGATAGATAATCGTTCGAGCATTGTTTTTCAATTGTTTAGGTTAGGTTCGATATAGATTTTGATTGAACGTTAGGATAAGGCTAAATTTAGGTTAGGATTTCAGGCTCTGGCCATGTGCTTGGATTACGTTCACAGCTACGTTCTGATTAGATTTTGGTCAGGCTTGGGTTACGTTCTAATTATGCTTAGGTTATGACAGCGCTAAATTTTCAATAGATTTAAATTACGTCTCCACTATATTTTAATTACTCTTTGAATTAGATATCCGTTCCGTTGGACAGAGTTACGAGGTATTATATTTAGATCCAAATTTAACTTAACCTATATTCTGATTTTATAATTTAACGTTTAGGCTATAATCAAGATTTAAATTTCGTTGGATTTCATCTAAGTTGCTTTTAATCTCAATTCAAATTCACATTAACCACTTACTTTGGTCTATTTGGATCTACTGGTTCGACTTAATTATTAATCCAATCATTTTTGAGAGGTTATGGCAATATGTAATTCTATTTTAAATTAAATCGAACGTACGTCGTCTTTAATCTCAATTTAAATTCATATTTGTATAATACATTTTTTATCTACGAAACGATCTAGCGTTGTATAAGAAGTTGATTAGCTTTCGAAAGTAGCGAGAATGGGACACCGTTTCGCGAGTTTCGACGAACGATTACGCCAGCCTGTATAGTTAATCGCTCGACGCGAACAGAAGACACGAGACGAACGAACGGTCGACGAACTTGTCGTATTGCAAAGTCATCGCGGTGTAACGCAGCCGAGGGGCAAGAAAATCGATGCAACTGTTAATACGAATGATTCATCAGCACTCAATTACCGTGCAAACGCACGAGATGTTACGTAGTCGTGACTCGTACACGTCGAGGGCACAACATTGAAACCATTTGTCGTCACATCGTGGCAATAGCTTTCAGTAGCCGTTGCATCTCCCTTTACGCCATGGAAAAAGATGCTGTCAGGTTGAATCACGATGGTGAGACACCATGCTTATCTATGTCTTTTATTTATCTTGTATCATAGTAGGTTCGTTCACATAGAACGATTTAATTTGTGGGTTCAACTAGAAATCACGTTTCCTATACATATACGCAAGGTTAAGTTTATAGGTTAAATTTTAGGTTAGGTTAGAATTGGTTTAAATTTCCATTAGATTTCGGCGCATCTTTTTACACTCTTGCGTTAGATTCGAATTACGTTCGGGTAAAAGTTTCTCCACTTGAATCAGATTTGTCTGTCCTTAAGACCAGTTCCGCGTTTGGCTATTCACGTTTAGATAAGTTTGGGTTAAATTTCCTGTACAGTTTGTTTTACCTAAACATCTCTGTTCGAAGATATAAGTTCGACTTGAATTAAACCATTCATCTCTTTCCTTTTCTCTGTTACACAGTTAAATGTAGGCTAAGTTTGGGGTAATCATTCATCCGTTATCATACAGAATGAAATCCGAGTTAGATAAGTAATCTAATTTTACCGAAACTTGGGATGAATTAGATTTTCCATGCTACAAACAACAATTCCTTTATAAATAGTCATTGTTCGTTTCATTTGAGGTTATGGTACGGGTAGGGGGGAATGGGAAGAAAA